GACTTCGGACTCGGTGCGTTCTACATAGTATCCCTGAACACAAGACCAAGTTGCGACAACGAGGTCAACCAACTTCTATATAATTTACCTTTTAATGTTTATGCTCCTTAAACTAATTAAGAATATTTAATTAGAAAAAATCCATTTTTTAATTTTATATCTAAAGCGTGTTAATAAATACGTAAAGTGATTTAAGATACGCTGAAATAGTTGAATTCCTAAGCTTATCTCTTAAATTGTATTTTAAAACATTCCGCAGATTTTTAATAAGAATGAATATATTCCCATACGAATTTACTTATTCTTTATTATTATAGGCTACTCAAGTAAGTTTAAAGGATATTCAACATCAAAGCAAGAAAAGACTTGTCGATCTCAGTCTTAAATATGGCAAATTAATTGATAAATCAACTCCTTACTACGAAAAAATGTCACAGGTGGACATTGTAATTCACAAACTTTCGCAAATTTTTATAACAATCGTATATTTTTAGCTGAAAGATAAAGCTATAGAAATGGAAGAAAGATACAGAGTTTCTCTAGAAAATTTGAAGAGGGCCAGGATCAAAATGGATATTCCTACTGACTCAGGGCAAGAGAACCTTGAAGCCATTATACAAGTAAAGAATAGTTCTTTATATATTAAATCCAAACAACCTGTTTTTCCTTCTATGGCTATTTAACGACTTGGCTCAACTTTTATTCATAATCAAAATTTTCAGAAAGCATTTGTCCTCATAAACCAGACTTAACTTTGACATCAATAATTTATCTCGATGTCCTAATACCATATTTAACTTAAAGAGCTCCAAAATTTACCTTAATTTTTCCCACACTATTGTCACGTCTGCACATCAAGTTCGCGCCTCACTACCAAGTATCATTTAGGCACAATATTTGAGTTTGGCTTATATTCGCTTTGACAATGTAGTATTTATTCAAACTCTTTGATGGTTTGTAAACTATACTATTTTAATCGTAGATAGGAAATCCACGATGGTATGGCCTTTGTTTTGGTCACAGTCTTTTGTCGCTGTATAGAATCTGTCTCACCTCATTATCGCAATTTTTCGCAGTATCAAGGAATTTTGATGCTGTACCGACCAATAGTCTCTAACTGTATACATCCAAAGATCCGTTGCTAGCAAAAATCAGAACATCGGCAGAGAATGCTTTATAACGAAGGTTTTTCGAACTCTCCTTAACTCTGCATTTAATTAGTGAAACCGTGTTTATGCCGATTCTCTAATGTTTTAATTTCTGCAGTTTACGTTTTACCACTGTTGTAATGCTTAAATCGTCAAACCTAGTATTATATATATATATATATATATAAATATAAAATTTCCTATCCCATAGTCTCTTGTGTTGCTAACCATAAATGTTGTGGTTCTACTTGTATTGAATAAGTTCATTGTATAACCACAAAATTTTCAGGTTGGCACACAAGAGACTAGGGCATAGGAAGTCATAGACTTGGCACTATGGATAGAAGCATGATAGATGCTGTGGAGAGTAGAGCTAGTTGGCTAATAGTAGCTGTATTTGATCATAAACTTGGTCCAAGAAGCAGAGGCCTGACCATGAGAATTACTCGGGCTCTTTAGCCTCAAGCTAGTCTCCCAACCAGCATAAAAATCCTGCTTTTCATGAGCTTACTCAACGAGGCGGGATTATCAGTGCTTGAGAAATTGTGGGAAATATCGCTTTGAGTAGTACAAATAGGGTGACAGGGGTCGAGTGATTTAGTTGAACCAGGAAGGTGGGACGCTAATCCTTCGGGGAAGAGGAAGACTCTGATAAGACCTATGAAAGAGGTTTGTGGAGTTAGGGGGTGAGAAAGCCAATGTGGGGTTTGGAAAGATCCCATGAAACCTGCTAAAAAGGGCACACCCTACCACATTAGAATAAGATAGTAAAGGGGTAATACGAGGATATAGGATTTGTGAATATTCCAGGGCAGAAGGAAAAATAACACAATTGTTTAGCAGAAAATTCGTCAAAGGATAGGCTTCATTTGTCTCTTTGACGAGTTGTAGTATGGTGCTAAGAATGGCAAGGCTCACTTACGATGCCGGAAAAACGTCTGAGAGTGTACCACGCCCACGGTGCGACTGAAAATTATCATGTGTACTATGAACTCCAGGCAAGGTGCATTTATCTAGGTCTTCCTACCAATATGATCAGGTTGCGAAAACAAGGTCAAACAACTTCCGTACAGCGAAAGTAGACTGCGACCATAAAAAAGACCACACCATCTTGCTCTTCATACCTTCAGTTTAGTTGTTCATGCCTAAGTTAAAAATCTGCTTGGTGATGAAAACGACTAGTTTCAAATCAACTTTTTATAATGTGTTTTTATGATTCATGTACTATGTTGAGTTATGGAATATTTTAGCCAAATTTAAAATTATTATATTTTATATTATATTGCTTATTCTTTAAAGAGGAATAAAAAACGACTGCTAAGTTTGTTAGCCTAAGAACGTGAGCTACAATAAAGTACCTAGCAGCATAGTCAATTCTGGATTGCGATGTATTGTGTTCTCCAGTCAGGTCGAACTGTGGTCCAGCTGCGTGAAGCCGTTTTGAAGGCTAGGACCCAAGCACAACAAGCTCTAGAGAGAGCAGCCTGTGCTACTGACAGTTTGGCCGTTATGCGTCGCCAGCTAAGAAGCGCCATCGAGAAAACAACTGAATATTTCGCAGTCAGACTGAACGCTGAACACAGCATGCGAAACCTCAGGAGGCAGCTCTTAGAGGGAAATGCACTTCTGGAGTCTATTAGATCAAGGTATCTTAATTCGTAATAACTGAATTTTTGTTCTAATGGACACTCAAGAATTTTGGTATTTGTATCTACTTATCAACGATATACTATTCTTGTCGCTACTGTTAATTAAATTGTGACGAATCTCCATTTTGAGGGGAAATTTGGTAAGAAGGAATTAGTGATGCGGCCTCACCGAAAGCCTAAGGAGTATTGCCACGTAAGGAAGACTGTTGAATTGTATGAATAGGTCATCGGCTCACTGTCCTGCCATCTCGATGAAACTGTGCTAAGCTTTCGTTGGTACTGACAGACATCATCAGATCAGGTATCTACACTTCACGAAATTATGCAAAAATGTACTAAACGAAGGGAAAGTGTCCGGCTGTAACCCTAATCACATTTTTATACACGTAACTTCGCCATATTTATGAGGCATAGCATGCCTTACTCTACATGCTTGCAAATGGATGCATTTACTTCACGAACCGGAATTGCGTTGTACACAAATAAACTAGTGTACGATCCTTTGGTGTTGACTCTTGTTTGGGCTTGTGCTATTGTCTATTCTGTGTATGTAATGTTGATGTCATGGGAAGTGTGATAGTCCTAGCTAGACTCGAGGCTAATCCAACCTCTTGGTCAGTAGCTATTTCTGCACTCCCTCTCCCTCTCCTTAAGCCTATCCAGCAGTTACGAATAGTTCCTACCTAGTTTTGTGCACTAGATCCTAATCAGGACGTTGGCTGCTTTGCTCATTTTAAGCTTTCATGTCAAGTCCCAGTAACCCACAAAATGTTGTATTTTTGACCAATATATTGAATTTTCTGTATCAACCATGTGTTCAGCGAGCTAAGATTTTTTAACCCATAAAACTTTACAACCGATTTTGTGCAAGAATAGTCTCTTCTGGATTGGTCGGCAGGTCTTCACTACGTAAACATTGCCATATGAGCATGACACATTGTAGCAGCCCGATCTAGAAAGAAGCTCGAAAATGATCTAAGAGAAGACATTACAGAAGAAAGTGTAAATTTCTCTCTCTACATTATTCGGATGTTCCATTCCTTTAGAAGTTTGACCACATTTTTCGCAAGTTGACAGGGAGGCAAAGTCAGGAACCAAGTAAAGTTGTCCAATTGTCTATTCCGCCCTAGGTATCTTATTGCTGTCAATTGAAATGTAGATATTTGCTAGTCCTAATGGGTTATTGTTCTAAAACAATATATGCATCACCTGGCCCCTGTGACTTACATATGCTAAATGCAGACTCCTTATTATTATTGATTGCATAACCCTTAGTTTAACTCTATTAATATTATTGGAAAAAAAGTTAATAAAAAACCCACGTGAGTGTGTTTCATATATACGTTTCTTCTCAACTTATTACCATCTTTACTCACTAATGCATCCAAAAAAGGCAATTTATTTTGGCATCTATTCTAGTTATTAGCTTAACAAATACATCCAAGCTATCCTTGCCGTGCTGCCAAACAGCAAAATAATCGTCCATATACCGAACTAATTACTTGGGGACTAGAAATGCCTCTTAAAAGAAACGAACTCCTAATTGGGCCATGTGCTTATTAGCTAAGATGAGGAGCTAAACATGATCACATAGCAAAGATCCATGTTTGCTCATACAAATTGCCATTGAAGATAAAATATTTATCATACTTTAGTCCTTAACTGTTAGTCTAGTGTAGTTACTTCAAAATATCGATTGTAGACTAGACGCTCACTATCCTAATTCTTACTTATTAGATCTCTCCATTAACTCAACTGTTTATTTAATTTACCGGCTTAAGGCATAGTGATTTTATTTTTTTCCCGCATAACAAGGTAAATGTCTTTTATAGAAATTCAGCCATTTCTCTTAACACGATCAAATTTCTAGTTGCACAATCAAAAAAGTAATACTAAGAGCTTAAATTGCCTTTTATATCGCAATTTTTTGCTTAACTCTTGTACGCGAAACAGCGATCCTCTTTTGGGTTTTAACTCTTTGAGACTACGGTTCTAAGAATGCTAGATTGAAAGATTATCATTTGTGCAAGTGAATGCAAGAGAAGATAATTCTGCACTATTACTCATAATTAAATATTACCATTACAAAATCCACTAATATAGTTCCTAAGAGGATATCTGCCACTAAATTTGTTCAGAAAGAAATCTAAAATATTTTTAAGCAATAACTATCTTGAACCAACTGTTGAAAATGGGGATTTTTACTATCTCGGTAACTGATTCATCCAAAAACAGGGATTGAGCCCGGATAATAAAGAGGAAATTTTCCTGAAAAATTATACATGTTTTATCTTTAAATAGATTTTAGCAAGTCTGTGCTGGGTTTTTGTAACTTGCCAACTGATATAACTTCGGGTGTAACGTTTACATAGGCTTTGCTCTGAAAGCCTCATGACTATGCTAAAAAAATAAAATTCAAGGACTTAGTTAAGTTAACAAATCTGCTCCAGATCCTATTGTGAAAGAATCCAGGGAGTGATCGGACCTTATCACCACAAAAAAGAATAAAAGATAAACACTGATCTTACTCTTTGCAGGCCTTATAAAGTGTGAGGTTTAAGCATACGTCAATATTGCTATTAGCGAATTTTAAACATTGATCGTAATTTTTCTCAGAACGCCTTGAAACGCTTTCCATGTCGTAGGTAAACACCCGACCGTCTTCCTGCAAAATTTCTTGATTCTTCTCCAGTAAACTGGTAAAGCGTTCGTAATTATTCAATAACACATTTTTTTAGAAGTTGTTTGACCTTGTTTTCGCAACTTGGTCATAATGGTAGGAAGACTGATAGAAACGC